GCGGTGCTGCGGCAAGCGTCGTACGGCACCATCAAGATCGGCACCTACCAGAGCCTCAAGAGGCTGTTTGTGGACAAGCCGGAGGGTGAGTGACGGTGGTGGTGGTGGTGACGGTGGTGGTGACGGTGGTGGTGGTGGTGACGGTGGTGGTGACGACGGTGGTGGTGACGACGGTGGTGGTGACGGTGGTGGTGACGGTGGTGGTGACGGTGGTGACGGTGGTGGTGGTGACGGTGGTGGTGGTGACGGTGGTGGTGGTGACGGTGGTGGTGGTGGTGACGGTGGTGGTGACGGTGGTGGTGACGGTGACGGTGGTGGTGACGGTGACGGTGGTGGTGACGGTGACGGTGGTGGTGACGGTGGTGGCGGTGATGGTGGTGACGGTGGTGACGGTGGTGACGGTCGTGGTGGTGGCGGTGACGGTGGTGGCGGTGACGGTGGTGGCGGTGGTGACGGTGGTGACGGCGGTGGTGACGGTGGTGACGGTGGTGGTGACGGTGGTGGTGGTGGTGACGGTGGTGGTGGTGGTGACGGTGGTGGTGGTGGTGACGGTGGTGGTGACGGTGGTGGTGATGGTGACAGTTTTGGTGACTTCGACAGTTACGGTGACGGTGGTGGTGACGGTGGTGGTGGTGACGGTGGTGGTGGTGACGGTGGTGGTGGTGACGGTTTTGTTGACTCGACAGTTACGGTGACGGTGGTGGTGACGGTGGTGGTGACGGTGGTGGTGACGGTGGTGGTGACGGTGATGGTAACTTCGACAGTGACATTTGTGGTGATGGTGGCGGTGGTGATTGTGGTGATTGTGGTGATGGTGGTGATGGTGGTGAAGGTGGATGTGGATAGGGAAGGCGGTTGCGATGTTGCACCTTGATGTGTCAAATCGTGACGTGTCAAGTCTGGAGTGTTGTGTGATTGTGTGTCAGGTCGTGACGTGTGTCTGCGTGTGGGTGACGTGTCACGTGACGTGTGTCTGCGTGTGGGTGACGTGTCACGTGACGTGTCGGGTGACGTGTCACGTGACGTGTCGGGTGACGTGTCACGTGACGTGTCGGGTGACGTGTCACGTGACGTGTCGGGTGACGTGTCACGTGACGTGTCGGGTGACGTGTCACGTGACGTGTCGGGTGACGTGTCGGGTGACGTGTCACGTGACGTGTCGGGTGACGTGTCGGGTGACGTGTCGGGTGACGTGTCGGGTGACGTGTCACGTGACGTGTCGGGTGACGTGTCGGGTGACGTGTCGGGTGACGTGTCGGGTGACGTGTCACGTGACGTGTCGGGTGACGTGTCACGTGACGTGTCGGGTGACGTGTGGGTGACGTGTCACGTGACGTGTGGGTGACGTGTCACGTGACGTGTCACGTGACGTGTAGACGAGACGCTGCCTGTGAACGTGCTGTGTGGGGTGACGTGTCACGTGACGTGTGGGTGCTGTGTGGGTGACGTGTAGATGAGACGCTGCCTGTGAACGTGCTGTGTTGGGTGACGTGTCACGTGACGTGTGGGTGCTGTGTGGGGTGACGTGTCACGTGACGTGTGGGTGACGTGTCACGTGACGTGTGGGTGCTGTGTGGGTGACGTGTCACGTGACGTGTGGGTGCTGTGTGGGTGACGTGTCACGTGACGTGTGGGTGCTGTGTGGGTGACGTGTCACGTGACGTGTGGGTAACGTGTCACGTGACGTGTCACGTGACGTGTGGGTGCTGTGTGGGTGACGTGTCGGGTGACGTGTAGACGAGACGCTGCCTGTGAACGTGCTGTGTGGGGTGACGTGTCACGTGACGTGTGGGTGCTGTGTGGGTGCTGTGTGGGTGACGTGTAGACGAGACGCTGCCTGTGAACGTGCTGTGTGGGTGACGTGTCACGTGACGTGTGGGTGCTGTGTCGGGTGCTGTGTGGGTGACGTGTCACGTGACGTGTGTCTGTGTTTAGATGAGACGCTGCCTGTGAACGTGCTGTGTGGGTGACGTGTCACGTGACGTGTGGGTGCTGTGTCGGGTGCTGTGTGGGTGACGTGTCACGTGACGTGTGTCTGCGTGTAGACGAGACGCTGCCTGTGAACGTGCTGTGTGGGTGACGTGTCACGTGACGTGTGTCTGTGTGTAGATGAGACGCTGCCTGTGAACGTGCTGTGTGGGTGACGTGTCACGTGACGTGTGTCTGTGTGTAGATGAGACGCTGCCTGTGAACGTGCTGTGTGGGTGACGTGTCACGTGACGTGTGTCTGTGTGTAGATGAGACGCTGCCTGTGAACGTGCTGTGTGGGTGACGTGTCACGTGACGTGTGGGTGCAGTGTCGGGTGCTGTGTGGGTGACGTGTCACGTGACGCGTGTCTGCGTGTAGACGAGACGCTGCCTGTGAACGTGCTGTGTGGGTGACGTGTCACGTGACGCGTGTCTGCGTGTAGACGAGACGCTGCCTGTGAACGTGCTGTGTGGGTGACGTGTCACGTGACGCGTGTCTGCGTGTAGACGAGACGCTGCCTGTGAACGTGCTGTGTGGGTGACGTGTCACGTGACGCGTGTCTGCGTGTAGACGAGACGCTGCCTGTGAACGTGCTGTGTGGGTGACGTGTCACGTGACGCGTGTCTGTGTGTAGATGAGACGCTGCCTGTGAACGTGCTGTGTGGGGTGACGTGTCACGTGACGTGTGTCTGTGTGTAGATGAGACGCTGCCTGTGAACGTGCTGTGTGGGGTGACGTGTCACGTGACGTGTGTCTGTGTGTAGATGAGACGCTGCCTGTGAACGTGCTGTGTGGGTGACGTGTCACGTGACGTGTGTCTGTGTGTAGATGAGACGCTGCCTGTGAACGTGCTGTGTGGGTGACGTGTCACGTGACGCGTGTCTGTGTGTAGATGAGATGCTGCCTGTGAACGTGCTGTGTGGGGTGACATGTCACGTGACGTGTGTCTGTGTGTAGATGAGACGCTGCCTGTGAACGTGCTGTGTGGGGTGACGTGTCACGTGACGTGTGTCTGTGTGTAGATGAGACGCTGCCTGTGAACGTGCTGTGTGGGTGACGTGTCACGTGACGTGTGTCTGCGTGTAGACGAGACGCTGCCTGTGAACGTGCTGTGTGGGGTGACGTGTCACGTGACGTGTGTCTGCGTGTAGATGAGACGCTGCCTGTGAACGTGCTGTGTGGGGTGACGTGTCACGTGACGTGTGTCTGTGTGTAGATGAGACGCTGCCTGTGAACGTGCTGTGTGGGTGACGTGTCACGTGACGTGTGGGTGCAGTGTCGGGTGCTGTGTGGGTGACGTGTCACGTGACGCGTGTCTGCGTGTAGACGAGACGCTGCCTGTGAACGTGCTGTGTGGGGTGACGTGTCACGTGACGCGTGTCTGCGTGTAGACGAGACGCTGCCTGTGAACGTGCTGTGTGGGGTGACGTGTCACGTGACGCGTGTCTGTGTGTAGACGAGACGCTGCCTGTGAACGTGCTGTGTGGGTGACGTGTCACGTGACGCGTGTCTGCATGTAGACGAGACGCTGCCTGTGAACGTGCTGTGTGGGGTGACGTGTCACGTGACGTGTGTCTGCGTGTAGACGAGACGCTGCCTGTGAACGTGCTGTGTGGGGTGACGTGTCACGTGACGCGTGTCTGCGTGTAGACGAGACGCTGCCTGTGAACGTGCTGTGTGGGGTGACGTGTCACGTGACGCGTGTCTGCGTGTAGACGAGACGCTGCCTGTGAACGTGCTGTGTGGGGTGACGTGTCACGTGACGCGTGTCTGTGTGTAGACGAGACGCTGCCTGTGAACGTGCTGTGTGGGTGACGTGTCACGTGACGCGTGTCTGCGTGTAGACGAGACGCTGCCTGTGAACGTGCTGTGTGGGGTGACGTGTCACGTGACGCGTGTCTGCGTGTAGACGAGACGCTGCCTGTGAACGTGCTGTGTGGGGTGACGTGTCACGTGACGCGTGTCTGCGTGTAGACGAGACGCTGCCTGTGAACGTGCTGTGTGGGGTGACGTGTCACGTGACGCGTGTCTGTGTGTAGACGAGACGCTGCCTGTGAGCGTGCTGTGTGGGTGACGTGTCACGTGACGCGTGTCTGCGTGTAGACGAGACGCTGCCTGTGAACGTGCTGTGTGGGGTGACGTGTCACGTGACGCGTGTCTGCGTGTAGACGAGACGCTGCCTGTGAACGTGCTGTGTGGGGTGACGTGTCACGTGACGCGTGTCTGCGTGTAGACGAGACGCTGCCTGTGAACGTGCTGTGTGGGTGACGTGTCACGTGACGTGTGTCTGCGTGTAGACGAGACGCTGCCTGTGAACGTGCTGTGTGGGGTGACGTGTCACGTGCTGTGTGGGTGACGTGTCACGTGCTGTGTGGGGTGAACGTTGTCACGTGACGTGTGTCTGCGTGTAGATGAGACGCTGCCTGTGAACGTGCTGTGTGGGGTGACGTGTCACGTGACGTGTGTCTGTGTGTAGATGAGACGCTGCCTGTGAACGTGCTGTGTGGGGTGACGTGTCACGTGACGCGTGTCTGCGTGTAGACGAGACGCTGCCTGTGAACGTGCTGTGTGGGGTGACGTGTCACGTGACGCGTGTCTGCGTGTAGACGAGACGCTGCCTGTGAACGTGCTGTGTGGGGTGACGTGTCACGTGCTGTGTGGGTGACGTGTCACGTGCTGTGTGGGGTGACGTGTCACGTGACGTGTGTCTGCGTGTAGATGAGACGCTGCCTGTGAACGTGCTGTGTGGGGTGACGTGTCACGTGACGTGTGTCTGTGTGTAGATGAGACGCTGCCTGTGAACGTGCTGTGTGGGGTGACGTGTCACGTGACGCGTGTCTGCGTGTAGACGAGACGCTGCCTGTGAACGTGCTGTGTGGGGTGACGTGTCACGTGACGCGTGTCTGCGTGTAGACGAGACGCTGCCTGTGAACGTGCTGTGTGGGGTGACGTGTCACGTGCTGTGTGGGTGACGTGTCACGTGCTGTGTGGGGTGACGTGTCACGTGACGTGTGTCTGCGTGTAGATGAGACGCTGCCTGTGAACGTGCTGTGTGGGGTGACGTGTCACGTGACGTGTGTCTGTGTGTAGATGAGACGCTGCCTGTGAACGTGCTGTGTGGGGTGACGTGTCACGTGACGCGTGTCTGCGTGTAGACGAGACGCTGCCTGTGAACGTGCTGTGTGGGGTGACGTGTCACGTGACGCGTGTTCTGCGTGTAGACGAGACGCTGCCTGTGAACGTGCTGTGTGGGGTGACGTGTCACGTGCTGTGTGGGTGACGTGTCACGTGCTGTGTGGGGTGACGTGTCACGTGACGTGTGTCTGCGTGTAGATGAGACGCTGCCTGTGAACGTGCTGTGTGGGGTCCTCTCCGGCGTCGTCTCCTCCACCATCGCCAACCCCACCGACGTGCTCAAGGTGACGCTGCCCCCACACACACGCACACACGCACACACGCACACACGTGTATCTGTGTACGTGGTGTGTGCGCATGTGTACATAGTGTGTGCGTGTGTGTGCGCACGTAGTGTGTGTGCGCACGTAGTGTGTGTGCGTACGTTGTGTGTGCGTACGTTGTGTGTGCGCACGTAGTGTGTGTGCATGCGTTGTTTGTGCGTACGTAGTGTGTGCGTGTACGTAGTGTGTGCGTGTGTGTGTACGTGGTGTGTGCGTGTGTGTCTGTACGTAGTGTATACACGCGTGCGTGTGTGTGTAGTGTGTGCGTGTGTGTCTGTACGTGGTGTGTGTGCGTGTGTCTGTACGTAGTGTATACACGCGCGCGTGTGTAGTGTGCGCGTGCGTGTCTGTATGTAGTGTGTGCGTGTGTGTCTGTACGTGGCGTGTGTGCGCGTGTGTGTGTGTAGTGTGCACGTGCGTGTCTGTACGTAGTGTGTGTGCGTGTTTGGGGAGCGGTAGTGTAGCGGTAAGCGCGCTGCGCTACAAACCCAGCGACCTGGGTTCGATTCCCGCTCCCACAACAGTGACGATTATCTGAACCACTTTTGGGCCTCCCCTAGGTCGACTAAGCCTCAAATGAGTACCTGGTGCGGCATGCAAACACCGCCACTGGGGAGACAAAGGCGGCCGGGCGTGGTGCTGGCCACCCACACCCTCGTGTGCCGTGCCGGTAGCCTTCACCGGTGCTGCCGATCGCTAACAGCACTTGCCCCAACGGTTTGTTAAGGCTACACGGGGTGGGGGTGTTCTTTGTCTTTGTGTCTCAGATTCGCATGCAGGCACAGGGAGGCGTGTTCCAGACGGGGATGATTGGGAGCTTCATCGACATTTACCAGCAGGAGGGCACACGGGGCCTCTGGAGGGTGAGCCGCCACCGCCGCTGCTGCTGCTGCTGCTGCTGCTGCTCTGTGACCCGGATTGCCGCCACCGCCACCACTACGATCACCACCAACACCACCGCCACCACCACCAACACCACCACTACCGCCAGCACTACGATCACCACCAACACCACCGCCACCACCACCAACACCCACCACTACCGCCAGCACTACGATCACCACCAACACCACCGCCACCACCACCAACACCACCACTACCGCCAGCACTACGATCACCACCAACACCACCGACACCGTCATAATCATCACCACCATCATCATCATCATCACCACCACTACCACCATCATAATCATCACCACCTCCGCCGCCACCACCACTATCACCACCATCACCGACACATCATAATCATCACCACCACCATCGTCATCATCACTACCACCGTCACCGACACCATCATCATCATCACCACCACCGCCATCACCGCCGTCACCGACACCGTCCTAATCATCATCACCATCATCATCATCACAACCACCGCAGTCACTACCATTGCCGCACAGCACTTGCTCAACTTCAGAGACACGGAGAGAGAGAGACACTGAGAGAGAGACACGGGGAGAGAGACACGCGGAGAGAGAGACACGGAGAGAGAGAGACACGGGGAGAGAGAGACACGCGGAGAGAGAGACACGGAGACAGAGAGAGACACGGAGACAGAGAGAGACACGGAGACAGAGAGAGACACGGAGACAGAGAGAGACACGGAGACAGAGAGAGACACGGAGACAGAGAGAGACACGGAGACAGAGAGAGACACGGAGACAGAGAGAGACACGGAGAGAGAGAGAGACACGGAGACAGAGAGAGACACGGAGACAGAGAGAGAGACACGGAGAGAGAGAGAGACACGGAGACAGAGAGAGACCGGAGACAGAGAGAGACACGGAGACAGCAGAGAGAGACACGGAGACAGCAGAGAGAGACACGGACACAGCGGAGACAGCAGAGAGAGACACGGAGACAGCAGAGAGAGACACGGGGACAGAGAGAGACACGGAGACAGAGGAGACACGGAGAGAGAGAGACACGGAGACAGAGAGAGACACGGAGACAGAGAGAGACACGGAGACAGAGAGAGACACGGAGACAGAGAGAGACACGGAGGACAGAGAGAGACACGGAGACAGAGAGAGAGACACGGAGACAGAGAGAGACAGAGAGACAGAGAGAGAGCACGGAGACAGAGAGAGACAGAGAGAGACACGGGGACAGCAGAGAGAGACACGGAGACAGAGAGAGACACGGAGACAGAGAGAGACACGGAGACAGAGAGAGACACGGAGACAGAGAGAGACACGGAGAGACACAGAGAGAGACACGGAGAGACACGGAGAGAGAGACACGGAGAGACACAGAGAGTTCGATTCATGCTCACCTATGGACCTTTGTCTTGTGTACCTGCGCTTGCGATACGTGTGACTGCGTGGGATGTGTGCTTGCTAGCGGCACTTGCCCCAACAGTCTGTTGAAGGCTACACGGCGACCTTTGTCTGGTGTGTGCGTGCGTGTGTGCGTGCGTGTGTGCGTGTGTGTGTGCGTGCGGCGTGCGTGTGTGCGTGTGTGGTGTGTGCGTGCGTTGTGTCGTGTGTGTGCGTGCGTGTGTACACTTGTGCGTGTGTGCGTGTGGTACACTTGTGCGTGTGGTGCGTGGGTGCGTGTGGTGTGTACACTTGTGCGTGTGTGTGTACACTTGTGTGTGTGTGTGCGTGCGTGCGTGGTACGCTTGTGCGTGCGTTGTGTACACTTGTGCGTGTGTATGTGTGCGTGCGTGTGTACGATTGTGTGTGTGTGTGTACACTTGTGCGTGTGGGCGTGAGTGTGTACACGTGTACGTGTGTGTGCGTGTGTACACTTGTGCGTGTGTATGTGTGCGTGCGTGTGTACGCTTGTGCGTGTGTATGTGTGTGTGCGTGTGTACACTTGTTGCGTGTGTATGTGTGCCGTGGTGTGTACACTTGTGCGTGTGTGTGTGTACACTTGTGCGTGTGTGTGTGTACACTTGTGCGTGTGTGCGTGCGTGTGTGTACACTGTGCGTGTGTATGTGTGCGTGCGTGTGTACACTGTGCGTGTGTGTGTACACTTGTGCGTGTGGTGTGTACACTGTGCGTGTGTGCGTGCGTGTGTGTGTACACTTGTGCGTGCGTAGGGAGTCATCAGACGGCACAGCGAGCGGCGATCGTGGTGGGCGTGGAGCTGCCGGTGTACGACATCACCAAGAAGCACTCATCCTGTCGGGCGTCATGGGTGACACCGTGCTCACCCACTTTGTGTGAGTCGCCGCTCGCTCACTGCTTGCCAACTCACTCGCCCGCTCACTCGCCGCTCGCTAACCTGGTCACTCGCTAACTCGCTCACTCACCTGGTCGCTCACTCACACGCTCACTCACCCACTCACTCACTCGCTCGCTAACTCGCTCACTCGCTAACTCGCTCACTCACCTGGTCGCTCACTCACACGCTCACTCACTCGCTCACTCACTGGTCACTCACTCACACACTCACTCGCTCACCACTGGTCGCTCGCTCACCGCCGCTCACCCGCTCGCTCACCCGCTCGCTCACCGCTCCTCACCCGCTCACTAACCCGCTCACTCACCTGGTCGCTCACTCACCCGCTCGCGCACCTGGTCACTCGCTAACTCGCTCACTCACCCGCTCATCGCCTGGTCACTCGCTAACTCGCTCATCACCCGCTCACTCACCTGGTCACTCGTAACTCGCTCACTCACCTGGTCGCTCACTCATACGCTCACTCACCCGCTCACTCACCCGCTCGCTAACCTGGTCACTCGATAACTCGCTCACTCAACTGGTCGCTCACTCACACGCTACTCACCCGCTCACTCGCCCGCTCGCTAACCTGGTCACTCGCTAACTCGCTCACTCACCCGCTCACTCACCCGCTCACTCACCTGGTCACTCGCAACTAACTCACTCACCCGCTCACTCACCTGGTCACTCGCTAACTCGCTCATCACCGCTCACTCACCTGTCACTCGCTAATCGCTCACTCACCCGCTCACTCACCTGGTCACTCACCTGCTCACTCGCTCACTCGCCCGCTCATCACCCGCTCACTCACCTGGTCACTCGCTAACTTGCTCACTCACCCGCTCACTCACTGCTCGCTCACTCACCCGCTCACTCACCCGCTCACTCACCTGGTCACTCGCTAACTCGCTCACTCACCTGGTCGCTCACTCACCCGCTCGCTCACCCGTTCACTCACCCGCTCACTCACCCGCTTGCTCACTGGTCGCTCACTTACCGCTCACTCACTTGGTCACTCGCTAACTCGCTCACTCACCGTCACTCACCCGCTCCACCCTCCTCTGTCTCTGTGCCAGAGTTCATGTCTCAGTAGTACGTCCATGTCTGTGTCTCTCTGTGTCTCTCTGTGTCTTCTGGGTCTCTCTGGGTCTCTCTGGGTCTCCGTGTCTCAGCTCGTGTCTCCGTATCTTTCTAAGTCTATGTTTACGTATCTGTGTTCTGTGTCTCCGTGTCATCTCCGTGTCATCTCTGTGTCTACGTTTACTCATCTCCGTGTCTCTGTCATCTCCGTGTCTCCGTGTCATCTCCGTGTCATCTTTGTGTCTACGTTTACTCATCTCCGTGTCATCGTGTCATCTTCGTGTCTCCGTGTCATCTCTGTGCCATGTCCGTGTCATT